ACACACACACACACACACACACACACACACACACACACACACACACACACACACACACACACACACACACACACACACACACACACACACACACACACACACTACTCTTCGTCAGAAGCACAAGTTGTAGACATGTACGGCGACATTTATATATATACAGAGAATATGTTACTTTACTCTTTATATTCGAGTACAAATCTATGCAAAAGAATAATTACATCAGTTGGTCACTTTCCGGATATCAGATAAACGGATTTAAACGGTTGACCAATACCTGTTATACACTGATGCATGCATTTCTATCAATTTCATTTATATAATTGTTATGACATTCTATGAAGGTTAAAGAATGAGAATTTCTCATTCTATTCAGATTTCAGGAAATTACATTTCTAATCCTTTTTCCCTTTTCTTTCTCGAATAAATAAACGGAAATAATGAAAGTAAATGTAAGAGTTGGTGAAAACTCTTCTCGAACATTGTTATCATCAAATGAACATATAACAAGTTGCTAATTTTTTATTAACATTTCTCTATGAAATTGTTTGATCTGATCACAATCTTTTTCATGTTCATCCTATTAACATTAGTAACTTATAAACCTGAATATGATTAGGGATTAAGATCGGATGATATCGGAATAATTTGATTTTAACATGAATCGCATATAAAATTCAGCAACCGTTTACATCCATCTTTAAAATGGATGGAAAAATAAATAAATTGCCTTTTATTTTAGCCTGGATACTTCAATCTAACATCCGGAAGTGGCTGCCAAGAATGTAGCTGTGACGTTCTTGGTAGTGTCAATAGCACCTGTGATGTGCTAACCGGGCAATGCTTGTGTAAACCTGGTGTGATGGGTCGCAGGTTGGTTTTCTTTTCCTTTTTTTTTTGAAATTCCGTCTTCTACTTATTTTTCATTTGTCATCAGATTTACTGTCACTTGATTGGTTCGGTTTTTTGAAATCAATTTTTTAATCAAATCAAAGTGTTCCTAAAAAAGAGTTGTAAAAATTATAAAATTTCGAAAAAAATAAAATTTTGGACAATTATAGGAAAAAGTATTTTACTTATAACAAAGAAAAGGATTGAGAGCTTTGCTTAGGATTCAACCGGTAATGTGAAAATATTGCAGTATCGATGAAAAGTATCAAGTTTTATTCGTAGAGAATTCTGTCAAATTTATCTCGAAAGTCCTTTCAATTGGACTCAATAATTCCCATTTACAAAGAATCTCCCTTATTTCTTTCTGAATTAATGAGTTGATAATAGAAGTAGAAGTTGTAGAAATTTCAACCTTGTCAAAAATACTCATCATCCATGGATTAGATTTATAAATCTTCAGATTGATAGTAAATTAACAACAGTTAAAATCAGATACCGAATTTGAAGTGATCTAAGGTTGCATGAAATCAAAAGATTTCAAGATACTGTTAACCATTTCATTCAATTCAATTTCAATCTTCCGATAATAAAAGATGTAGAAACCGGACATATAGTTGTCATAATTCATTTTCATATAATCCTCATGTCATCTTCAAGCTATCACCATTGGTCACTTAGTGCAATATTTTCATTCTTTGCAAGAAAATATTTCATGAAAATGCAAACTTATTTGTGGCACTTCCAACTTTTTTAAACTTTTCAATATCTAAGCATTACTTTCATAGAGGAAAACAGAGATTGGATGGAGTTTCTCTCCAGCATTCCTGCTAATATTATGTGTCGTCGTGAGATGCAATCGTTGCTGATATTTTAAAACAAAAAAGAAAAAAAAAACTGCGAAAAGTGCAATGTGAAGTTCAAAGACTGGTGCAGAATTTAAACTTTTTTTTCTTTTTCTTTTTTTTTGTTTCGTAGCTTCGTCGTTTTGGCAAAAAAGAAAAAATGAGATTGTAGCTAATGATATTTCTAACTTTTTCATTTTTTTAAGAATTATTCCTTCCTAAATTCTAAATTTAAATAAATAATGTGTCAACTAAATTACACTTGTTATTAGAGCCTATAAAATGTATTTTTTCGCTTCCGAATATTATCACAAGTGATGATGTTCGGGAAATTTTGTAATTATATGCATATGTTATTTAATTAAGAAGTAAGAATTTTTGCAAATTTTTTTAAAAAATGATTGGATTTCTTTTTAAAAAGCAAATTAAGAACTGTCCAATTTTATGATTAATTTTAAAAGTTTCAATGACTAATTTTGAAAAAAAAATTTTCGTTTATTTTATAAATTTTAACTTTTATCATAAATGGGAATGGATAAAAAGTAAAAATTCAATTTCAGATGTGATCAATGTGAACCACAATATTACGGTTTCGGGATAGATGGTTGTGAACCATGCGACTGTGAAGTTATTGGATCGGAATCACCACAATGCGATGTTATCACTGGTATGTTTACTGTTACTTCATTATTAGCAATTAAGGAATGATTATGGATTTTCACTGATTGTGGATTTTAATATTTGGGATGTATATGTATTAATTAATAACTTTAATCACTGTTATTAGTAATTGATAGTTGACTTATGTTATAATCAGTGTTACATAGATCGTCGTTTGTGGTACTATCATATCTGAACGATTAATTCTAAACTTGAAATCAAGTTGGCACACTTTTACAACATAATTTCTTAAATTTACGGTTTTATTTCGCTCAAATTAAAATTTCTTTAGTGCGCCGCTACTCTTACAGGTCATAAAATTATGATGAGAAAATTCTAATTTAACTATTCTAATCTCTACTATTACTACTACTGCTACTTCTATGATCAAAAGTGAGAATCTGACAGATATTTTAAGTTCTTGATCGAAATCATTCCATTCAAAGCTACATTTCAGGTCAATGTTTGTGTCGTAATCATATCGAAGGACGACGTTGTGATCATTGTATTGAAAATCGTTACAATCTTCAAGCTGGTTGTTTACCTTGTGATGATTGTTATGCATTAACACAACGTCGTGTACATACATTCAGAAATGATATTGGTGTATTGGAGGAGACTTTGAAGGAAATTATCGAAAATCCTGCACCGGTTATTATAATTTATTAATTTATATTTTTTTAACCATCAGTTGTCAACCCAGCTAAAGACTGTTTTAATGAAAGGATTGTTGAAACTCTCATTTATCGGGAAACATTCCTTTTTCAGTACAATTTTTGAATTTTTTGATCGTATTTTAAATTAATAAAGTGATTGTTCTGCTATTAATTCATTCATTAGTGATGTTAATTGCTATCATATAATGGACAATATAGTTTAAATTGCTAGAAGAGTTTATATAATGTTTCAATGCAAGATGTCAAATTAGGTACTATGATAGAAAATAAGTTAAAATTGGATAGTTATTCAAAATTTTTTTTGTTAAAAAATTTACTAAACAATTTTTCTGATAAAAAAGTGCCCTACTGCAGGTTGACGATGTGGAATTCGATAATTATGTCAAAACTGTCGGTGCTGAGGTCGAGGATTTGGTTGGTGTCGTAAAGAAAAAATTAGGTAAATTAGGGATTAATTTACTTTGTTCTTATTTATGAATTAGTGACATATTAAACATTTTAGATATGACGGAACATCTAACGATGGCGCAATTATCCATTGTTTGGAATGTACATGTTTTAAAATTATGTATTTTTTAAAAATACATAATTTTGCAAAATTTCGACATTTTTTGCAGGATGATTTGAGGGAATTTTCAGCTGGTGATGATTCGCAAATTATTGAACAGGTGAATACGGTTAGGAGTGATCTGAAGAATGCATTGAAATTATTAAGTTCAGTTGATGATATCATCAGTAAAGCAGATAAGAAAGCCGCTACCATAGATGAAACATTGAAACAGTGGAATGTGATCAAAGGTTATCCTTGAATAATTAATCAAATTAATTCATTTAGTTAATATTTTGTTTATTTTGAAAATTGTTTTAATAAATTTACGTTTTATCAATTAATTGATGAGTAGTAATGTATTTTGATGTTTTAATATTTTTCTTTTTTTGTAGACAAAGCATTTGAATAGAAAAGCCATTTTAGAGTGGAACTAAAATAATTCATTAATTGTCAATTTACACCCGGATATGCATATTCTTCTAAAGTTTCATTGTTTGTGCTTTAAAAAGAGTGCTAAGATTGAATAGATTGAGGATAGGCAAGAATTTTTCTTTTTGGATTAAAAAGGAAAAGTATCTTTCTTGGCTACCTTTCTCTTTCTTAAAATAGCTTATATTAAAATTAAAATTTACAGATCGAGCACGAAGTGATTTAGAAAATGCGTTATATTATTTGGAAACTGAGGGACAAACACAGTGGGAATTGGCGCAAGAAGCATCTCGAAAATATGGTGAACAAAGTCAGCAGGTATTTTTTATATTATTTGAAGAACTTTTTTAAATTTTTTCGAAATTACATCCTTGCAAATGAATTCTCTTTTAGGAGGTGCACATTGAAGTGCAAATGGTCACATGATATCACTAAAGGGTGTAATTGTATTTGAATGATTGGCTGTCATTTTTCTATCTTATTTTTATTAATTTTTAATATTTCTCAGAAAGAAAAAAAGAAAGAAACTCTTTTCAGTTATCGGAAATAGCGCAAGAAGCAAGGAAATTAGCTGAACAACAGGAAAATCGCAGTATCGAAATTGAAGCATTAGCTGAAAAGATTGCAAATACCTCTAAACAGGCGCTTGTTGAAGCGAAAGAAGTGATCTTTGGAGGTAAAAATTAAATAAAGCGCATGTGATGTTATTGATATGAACGTTAATTGAAGTCATTGATCTGATATTATGATTGTTTTAGAGATAGAGGTAATGTGTATGTTGCATTTGAAGAAACGTTATCAGTAATGATTGGATCTTTTTTTCAGCTGTGATATTGTCAATTAATTACTTCAGTTAAGGAACATTTAAGGATTCCTATAGGATTACTGTTTACGTTATTCGAAGCAGTAGGTTTCACGCTGATTGCAAAGTTATGACGGATACTTCAGTTGTTATATCCTAACATTTCGTACTATTACTATTCGTCGGCTATCAAATCATTTAATTTGATCGATTAATAATTTGATATTTGGTTAGAAGCATATTGCAGAAAATACTCGACATTATTTTCCTTTCATTAATATTATCGAACCATTATCACTTTAATAAAGTGATATGAAAATGGATTTCACAAGTGTGATAGCAAAGAGTTAAATTTTAATATTTAAATTTATCTAGGTGATGCTACTAGCAAAGAAATTGCAATCATGATGGAACGTTTGAATGCAACCGAGAAATTGTTGAACCAAACTCGCAAACTTGCTGAGGAACAATTAGCGGAAGCGGATCGTGCATACAAAATAGCTGCAGAAAGTTTAACAACTGTTGATGGTCTACGATTACCGAATATTGATCCACAACAAGTTGATATTTCATGTTGCAAATAATTAGGGTTAAATAAGTCTAGTTCATGATTGATATCGTACTTCGCAATTACTGAGAATCGAAAAGTTTTTGACTTCTCGAGTTTAAATTTTCGATTAAATATTGGTTTAAAAGATGATATTTGATATTTCTTAGTTAATATTAGATTGAAGAAGAAGCGAAACGAGTCGCAGATGATGCTAAAGCCACAGCTGACAATGCTAAGGAACAGGCGACTGCTAACAAAGAATTGATAGACGAAGCAATACAGTTAATTGCTGAAGCAAAATATGAATTGCAAAGGGTTCAGGACCAACAAAAAGTAAATTATTTATACCGTAGTTGATTCCACTTCGATGCTCATTTGTGATCTGGTGCAGTATTTGTAATCTGTACAATGTTTGTGACCTGTACAGTATTTGTGATCTTATAATCTTTAAATGCAGGATTATGGCTTGTCATTTAAACATTCAGCATATGGAAAAGATATAAATTATCTAGGTTTCGGATGAATTACTGGCTGACGTGGATGCTGCAAAGGCCCGTACAATGGAGGCTGTTTCGCTTGCGGAAAGTACGCTAGCGGAAGCGCAACATACGCTGGAAATACTGAATGGTACATGTGCTTCAAATTTTGTTCATTTTTCAGCTTATTTTTGTACTCTTTTTTCATATTAACCATTTTAACTTAAATTTTTACAAACTGATCACTATGTATGCTTTGTCGTATTTTTTTTTTTTTTTTAATAAAACGAACAGTGAACTAGTAAAGATGTAAAGTAAGAAATGAAATCATAATATTGAATGTATCACTTCAGATTTCCAAGAACGAGTAGATGCAAGTAAATCAGAAGCAATCGAAGAATTGAGAAATCTGAATGAGATCAAGAAAGAAATTGCTTTGGCTGAGGAGACAACTCGAGAAGCTGAAAATGCTATTGGCAATGCAAAAAATGATGCACAGATGGCGGAAAAAATTGCTTTACAAGCTGAAAAGGAAGCTAAAAGTATCAGCAAGGTATATATATATATATGTATTTGTTTTTTTTAAAAGTTCATTCATCTGATATCGTAATCTCAAAGGGAAAGCACTTTTATCATGCTTTTGATCGCCCGAAATACGAATTTGAGATATTTAACATGCGGAACATCTCTCTTAGTTATATCGTTTACATCCCATTGCGGACATTGTTCAGGTAATATTATTTTCATGAATTATCCAAGGGTTGTGTTTTTTTTTAGGAAGCGTATGAATTACGAAATCAAACTCAGGGCGTGCGCAAAACTGCAGAGCAATTAAAGTCAAGTGCCGATCAACTGGTGAATGATGTCAAAGAGACCGGTACAACAATGGAGGATTATAGACGACAAGCTAGTAGCGATAAAGCTCGTGCTTCTGAGGTATGCTTTGGACAATTTTCTTTCATTATCATATGATAAAAAGTGCACAATTTTACTTTCAAATTTCACTGATAAAATTATTTAAGGCAGTTCAAAAAGCTCAGCTTGCCGAAAAAGCTGCTGAAGGTGCGAACAAAACCATCAGCGAGGCGCAGGACAGTCTAAGAAGTATTATTAATCAACTCCGTAAGTACAATTTCAATGATATTTCATAGTTAAATTTGAAATCATTGATCATTCGCTATCAGAAAAACAGCGAATAGAAGTTACAAAGTAAACAAATCAAGAAGTGCGAATTAGAAAATCCAAAAAAAAAAAAAAAGGTTTGCAAATTACATCTCTTCATTTTAGATTCGTTAGATGGTGTGAATAGTGAAGAACTGGATGAACTGGAAAAACAGCTGAATCAAGCAGAAGAATTGTTAAAAAGTGCTGACTTAGATAAACAGGTGGGGTGATAATGTTTATTGAAATTAGGCAAAGAAACGCTACTGTTTTTCATTAATATCTCATGAATTTATAATTTTACTTAAAAAGTTTTCTTTTTTTAATTTGCTGATAAGATTTAAATTTATTTGAGCAATCAGTATCTTTCCTTTCTTCCAATGCATTTTAATTCTTTTCATCTAAAGAGCCTTGTAAGGTAAAATAGGTTTCTTATTCGGTTTCTCATTCTTCTTTGTTCTGATTTCTTTTTCTCAGTTAATCGCTTGACTTCATCTGAATTAACTAAATTAATTAATTTTTGTAGGTATCATTACTCAAAGAACAGAAAATTGAGCAGGATCGTACGATAACGCAATTTAAAAATGAAATCGATACTTTGAAAGACGAAGTGCAAAATCTTGAAGAAATACGTGATTCATTGCCGAACAAATGCTTCAATGTAATTAATTTGGAACAAGAGGGACACAAATAGAAATGAAAGTGGACGAAAAAAAAGAAGGTCAACATCCTGAAACGTTTGTTTAGGAAATCGAATGTTAGAGGACGACGTTTTAATCACATCGATCTCATTTGTTAGTCTCTCACTCCTCTCCTTCCGGAAAGTAATCATGAAAAAACAGCGTACTATAAAGTTTTTAATCATTCTTCCGGTGGAGAAATGTAATATTTCTTTATTTTGAATTTTATGGAAGCTGAAGTTGTAAGCAAAATTAGGCGAGGAAATGGGTTTGAAAAAAATGATGAGACTATTCGGCATTTCCAGAGCATTATTCTAAACGTTACTGGGGCTGAGATATTAGCTCAATCCCGATCCGATCTATTCTTTCATCGTTTTTCTCTGCAATTTACTACTCAAATTTATCAAAAAATTTCTTTCCTCATTTCATTTGCTTTTTTTTCGAAGTTAGAAAGAAATAATTTAAAATTATAGCTTGGATAAATAATTTATATATTCAATTTCTCATTGTTATTTACTGTTATTCTTGTTGTTTTCATCCTTTAGCTCCTTTTATGCGTAATTTTCCAATTTTTGATTGTTTTAGAAAATTGAATTAGTGAACAAAAAATGTTCTAATAATGGAAATTTCGGCTATCTTCAAATTTCAAAACACTGCCATAATTTTCCCCTTAAACTTTTTTTGCATTCAAAATATTATTTATATCATTATTTTTTCCAGAAATATGATTCTGCTTGTTGTAAAATTCGATACTATTTTAATTTTCTTCGTTTACTGATGACAACAAATAATGTTTTAATTTTAGTTCTTCTATATGATTGCTTGGCGTCAGGGAATTTTCTTCTTACAGAGAGGTAAAAGAAATTGTGGAGCCAGTTCATGGACCTCGGAATTTTATTTCCCGAGAAATAGTTGGTCTGAATTCAACACTTAATTTTCTCACCCCAAAATTTGCAGATTTTTGCAGACTAAAAATTCGAAAAATTAGTTGAAATTCCCAAGCAATCTGTTAATAGTTTTCTTTTTCTCATCGGTAGTATATTATGTCAATTAATTTAATCAATAATTTTCTTTCGAATCCAGCTCTATCAACTGCCCTATGTGTATAAAATAAAACTCTCCTCATCCCTAGTTCATTCATAGTCTCACATCATCATCATTATCATCATCATCATCACCATCATCATCATCATCATCATCATCATCCTCATTTTTCTTCATTTGTTTCTTAATTAAACAGTAATTGCTTATCACTTTGCATTATCATCATCGTATTTAATATTTGTATACCGTGCCTTTTTTCTCGATTATAAACGTTTTTTTCAATTAAAATTCTGAAATTATTCTAGATCAGTTCGCCCGTCGACTATGCAAATTTCTTTTTTAGTCTCAAAGCTTGACTTCTTTAATGAGAAAAACAGTTAGTAAAGCTATCCCCTTACATTTCATATTCAGTTGAATTATACTAAATTTGTCACATATGTGAAACATTAATTGAACTCCATCACTCACCTGTCAAGAATTTCTTTGCTGACTACTGTGACTAGGAATGGTTAGTTTTCAACATTAGCCCCATGACATATGAAACTACTCGGTCCTGCGGATTACTGGTGGGATTCCTGGAAGTGTTCGATTTCCCTGACCATATTACAGGTATTACCTGATGCTTCGACTCTTTCTTCTCTTCATGCTTTTTCCTTTTCCGTTGCTCGACAGCAGTATTTTAGTTTAGTAACAATTTGATTTCTCTGTTTAAAAAGATGGGTGAAATTCATGACAAAACTGCCCGATACTCTATCGATCTTTTTACGCTTTTTCTTATACTTTGTTATGGAACAAAAATCAGAATTGTAAAACAATACACGCCTCGATTCCTTTGTTTTTGTTTTAGTTTAGTCTGCTTTATTTCATTTCACTATATGATATGATTAAAATGCGTTTTTTCTCACTGAGTAACAAGCATTCATTTGAGAAAGTTAAGAAATATTCGGGACCTGTATTTTTTGAGTAAATCCAGCCACACCAAATATCGAGTGATATTAAATTCAAATAATAAATTCCCTGTTACTTTATCAGAGACACTTTTAAGAAATCCTAGGAACTGTTTGTGTTTTGTACGAACACACTTTACAAGAAAATTCCTGAAGAAACTCCGATTTAATGAATTTTGATTTTTTTGATTTTGATTCTCTTTCAAGATTTTTTTGACTTTGACTTTTTCTTCTTTTTTTCTGATTTTGATTCTACAAAAACTTTCTTTTTTGATTTTGATTTTCTAGTTCTACCGTAAAATAGCCGTGACGTCCCTTTCTCCAACTTAAATAAATGGAATGAATTCCATTTCATATTTCATATTTTTATATTCCTAAAAAAAGATAGTAAAATGTTACTCTGACATTACTCCGAGCACTAACTTTACTCTGAATCAATAACAGTGTCAATAAAATAATCCAATTCATCATCAGTTTTTACACCTTGGAAGCGTGCAACAACTTGACCGGATTTCATTGCGACAACAGTGGGTACGGAACGCACATCATAATCCATTGCCACATCTGCTGCATAATCGACATTCACCTTTGCTAGCTTAATCTGAAACATACTGACAAATAAGTTGAACAGATCCTTATGCGGCACTGTAATTAATCAATCAAAATTTTAAATAAAAAATAATGTCAAATCCAAATATGTCTTTGAATGAGTAAACGTCATGTAGAGTAGACTCATTATTGCTGCATGTTTTGGTAAGCACTTTTTTTTTTGTCATCACCAAAGATAATTTTCACAGATTCATAACGATGTGTTTGAACCACACCATATCCTCCGTTGAAATCAGATAATCTGTTATGTTCATGACAACTGAAACACTTGAAGATCTACTTCATGTAACATCACTTACATTTCCTTCGCGGCTAACAACTTTGGCTTCGATTCGCGGCCCCAACATTTTACATGGCCCACACCAATCAGCATAAAAATCTACGAGCACTGGGACAGAAGAGTTCATAACCTGTAAAAGTAGTATGATACAAATGATTCCTCATTCCACTTCGAAATACATTTCGCAAAACGTCCCGACAACTTTACAGATATTCATATTCTATTAAGAACATGAGCTTAACGATGATTATGTTTTTTATTGGAGGGCAATTGAACAAAATACGGCTGGCTTTAGCTAGTCATCTATTCTTCTGAAAATCCTTAAAGTACAGAATATCCCGGAGAATTCGCAAAGACTATTTGCACTCAGTCTCTCTATGAAATCTGTTAATCAATAAGACGAAACATACTAAGCAATAAAAAGTCAATGTAGAAAGTAATACCTTTTCCGTGAAATCTTCTTCGTCTTCAACATTAAAGATGACCGCCGATGACTCGTCATTACAGAATCTTCGAAAGAGTACGGAATTCTTTGGCTAGAAATGGTTAACCTTGAAATATGAAGATGGAAATCAGAAACATGGAAAATTAACGGAGCTACAAAATACCGTCTTGCGCAGACAATAACTTGTACTATCCATTCCTTGCTATCTTCAAACATTGGACGTATAATTTCTCATTCCATGTATCTGATCTAATATAGACAGTGGGAAAGTGAATTTCTTTTGTCAGCGATTAGGCCATATTTTCCAAACTTGGACAAGAATTCTTTTGCCAACTGAAGTTGACGCATGATATGGTGGGTTAAATGGAACAGAGTAGTATGTGGCATAGAAAGTCAGCACAGCAAAAGAAAATGTGGAACAGGAAGTGGATGGAATAAAAAAAAAGAAAAAACTGTGATGCAAAGAGAGAATGGAACAAGAGAACTGTGGAATGCGTGCGACAGTCTTGCAGATTGGCAACATTAAAAACGCACGATGAGTCCATTATTGATTCGCAATCTTTGCAAAGGTATTTTGATTAAACGTGTCGGAAATGAAGAAATGCACTGTATGTTTGATGATGCGACACATCGGCTGAGGAACAACTTATGCATACGATACAGCTGCGGATGTGTCCGTGAACCCGTCAACATTTCATTTGACCTGCAATTAAACGACCTGCGAGTCATGCTTAGGTAGAACTGATTTCGATCATATTGTTTATGTGTTAACATTAAGCTTAGTCAGATCTACAATCCTCATATAAGCCGCCATGCTTAAAACAATCCTTACCGCAGCATAAAACTTGCAACACCCCAACAGAAACCAATCACATGTCACTGCAAACATCGGCCAACCGTAAGATGTCACCGTTGGATTGCATAGAGTATTAGGGAGGGTTTTTCAGGAGGGGAACGGTGATGGCCGGTGTAAATTCAGGTAAACCTCAATCTGACAAATAGACCAGGCTTATAATAGGAAAAGATAGTCCTTTCTATTTGACATAAGATGTATTGTGGCTATTCATACAAAGTGAACATATTGCATTTTTCAGTACAAAGGATGACCTTTGCAACTGTAACCCAATTGATATCAACTTTTTTTCTTATCATTCTAATCTTCTTATCACATAATGTAAACATTAGGTTAGGTTGTATTTTATCAACTACTCATTCCCTATACCATCCCAATGTTATGCCATTTAGACGGTTGATTGTTACTGTCCCAGAAACATTTATGGTGTGCCGGATAATCAAGTACTCGATGAAGGTGAGTAGTAGCTTGCTGTACTAATCCATTCATATTGCTCAGACTTAGTTATTGTTAACCCCACCTATCCCAGACTTTCATGTTTTGCAATATTCTGATTGCCAAAGTTAACCAGTTATTTTGATCTTAGTTTACTTTGCCTCGCTATAATTTAATCACAGAGTCGATAAATTTTATTAATTCTTTAATTCGATAACACAAACCACAAAAATAGTCATATCACAGTGACAACAAAATTTGAGTCACTACTGATAGTGCTCATCCATTCATCTAATCGTCTTGTTTATCATTTCTTCTTAGATCTCCATGACGTTCACTAGATGTAGTGCTGCTATCGCTTAACATATTCGTTTCTTGCATGTCGCTATTTTCGATATGAAGTTGATGATCAATTCGCTTCGTTATTTTAAAGATGGCTTCTTCCGCTTTCAAATGATGATGCTTCCATCTGAAATGCATTCAGGAAATTAAATTGGTAAAAAGCTGAATGGTGTTTCTTTTTCCCTCGATAACTAAAAAATGTTAAAATTTTCTTAGAATCAAATAATCAGAGAGGCAAAAGAATGCTATCCAATATACTCTCCATTAATTATTGCATTGACGGCTCTATCGTCACGACCACAAGAACTGTCTTAAGAAGCCTATTTTCCATTTTGCGGTGAACGTTTTGTTGTGTATATAGATTCAGATTAGCTTATTGTCGAGCAACACTTATCATTTATCAACAAACAGTTTGAATAAACTTTTCCGATGCATTCATCTACCGATAAATTAGGAAGTTCGGCTTTCAGCAGACTTACTATCATATTCGCGCCGTAATCTATTATCTCAAAATATTTTTCCAACTTACTTCCCAAATCGTTCAAATGCATGTCGAAATTCTTCAGCACTCGGATTTTGCTCATTCAGTAAATTACAGAAATATTTGAAGACTTTTTCCATGTTGAATATATAGCTGCAGGAATGCATTTAGTCAAGAGTCCTAATTTTTGGTTTCAGACATTTTTTCTTTATTAAGACGATGGTGAGGATCTCTTCACGAGGAAAGTAGTAATCTGGTTAACTGTGACATTTGACACTCACCAACTCTTTCAAACAACTGATGAAATTCGGAGAACTATTACTTCTTTTCTTTGGAAAATTTAACTATGCATTTCTGATGGTTCATAAAGATACCCTGCATGAAATTTGTAACTTTTTTGTATACTATACTGGTTTTTGCAGTCCTTATGCTTTAAAATCCGTTTTAGTTCATTATTTATTAACTTTCAAAATTGAAAGCATGTACCATTGAGGGTCACGATCGAACGCTCGGCATGTGATGTATGCAACTGTGCGTAAACCACATGACCACATATCATCTTGTTTTTCGATTGCAATTTCATATCGTACTTTCACTCCGTCAGGCGATGATACGTGTTTGAACATATTGAAAATCTGTTCGGCTAATCCACGATTTAACTAAAATTTATTGAAATTTCAAAGCTGCACTTATTAAAATGTTGTACAGCTTGCCACAAGCTTCCCTATAGTTTGAAAATAAGATTGGGAAACTTTAAATTAATAGCCTACCGCATCCCTGGCTTTTTTACTAGAGGTGGCAAGAGAGTCAAATACGACCACGGTATTATCAATAAGAGTTCGTTCAACCAATACATAGTGTTCACGTTTTTGATCCAAAAGAATCTGAAGGACCGGTTTGCTACCAGTTATGAGTCTATCCAGGTTTTGTGGATCCAGCTGAAAAAGATTTTGCTTCTTATTTTGAGCGAAAACCTCTTATCTTGGGAAAGCATTAGAAACATCAGGTAGTTGCAATAGCGAAATTAAACTTTGCTAAATTTTTGTAGGGGAGTTCTGTATAAAGCAAAAGAAGTTCAACAATGCTGACCTTTACAGAAATTTGGGAAAAATAAAATCTGTGCACTGAATATTTCAGCTGATCTTACTAATAATGCAATGATTCAATGAACGATAATCAGCTCTTACTGCAATGTACTGAATGGCAAGCATGCCATCAAACCGATTCCGCAGTGCTGTGTTCAACTTATCACAATATTCGTTGATTAAATCATCCGCAATCCGTTCTCCATAGTTTATCTAATCAGCAATAAGTTTTTAGTTCAATTTAATTCAGTTTGATTTAGTTGGAAGATGAATCCATATTTTTTTTTCGTAATAATTACATATTGAAGTAAAGTACTTCTTCATTGTGTACTCGTCTTTTTGTTCTACTTGTCCAACTTTTTTCGGTTCCACCGGTTATCCGGATTTCATCCTTTTCCTTCACGACCTCATACTCATTTTGAGAATCTTCCTGAGTGAGTGCTGTTGGGCTAACAATGATGGAGCTATCATTATCAGTTGGTGGAGCACATGTAAAAATTAGCGATGGTAAGCTTTGACATGTTCCAATATCTGACACTAGCCTGAAAAGTTTTGCGAAATTGAAGCATCTTATTAACACGTCAGAAACAAAAACTTTATTTGAAAAAAAAGTGGAAAATTTTCGTCATAAAAACAAGTTTACTGTCAACGTTAATGTTAATGTAAGGAATAAAGCTAATTATTTTCAACATACGTTTAATTATATACTTCTAGCCTAATATGGAATGAAACTGACGGCATGAAATAATTACTTCACTGCCATGTTTCTATGTGGAAATTTAGAATACTGAAAAGATATTTATTTATACCAAATCTGTAAATATGGATATAAAAGGAGAGAGTACAACGATAAACAGACACAGCCTAATCGATGTCAAGGGCCTAATTGCTAGTATCATAAGTTTATCTCAAAATTTGAATGAAAAACTCCTTTGGACGGTTCTGCAGCTACTCAGTAGTAATAGATAAAAATGCCCGCTCTCCTATTTCTCCCAGAGAAAGATACTCACGATGACATCTCCGTATTTCTGTCATCATTCGGCACGCCATCCTCCACCGTCATCTCCCCGGATATGAGCACAAGCAAGATGAGAACAACTCCTCTAACCAACCAATTCCCTATTACACAATATCAAACAATAACATCACAACCTGCTAATTCATCTAATTATACCTATTCAATATCATGTTGCAATCTAAGAAGTAAATCTTCGTGCGTCTTTTTGAGTACTGTAGACTATGTATTTAACTGTATTTTGTTTTGAACTCTAATTAAGCGTGTGCTTGATGATTGGCATGTGGTTCGTCGTGAATTATTTCGATGATATATAAGATTTGAAGGGAATTTTATTTCAAGATGATAGGATGTGAAGTAACGTTTCAAGATTTTGATGCGTCGAAGGATGAGGACTTGTTAACACAATGCCATTTGTTATGTCGTGAAGTATTCTCCCAGGAGTATGGTCTCAAGGAATTACCGGGCATTGATGGGGAGGATGAGGATAGTAGACAGATTGTGGCTCGATGTATAGATAGCGATTCAATAATCGCTACTTGTCGTTTACGTCTCATGCAGCCATATGTCAAGCTGGAGCAAGTTGCTGTCCGCAAGGTATATTTCACTTTTGCTGCTATTTTCAGTTCCGGAAAGGAATAATTTTGATAATTTTACAATACCCCTTAATTTGATTCCGATAAAATATCTAATTGATTTCGAAAAGATAAATGTTTTCGAAGTAGTCTTTGTTTTCTTTAATACAATAAAGAAAATTCTTCGCTTTCTTTTTTTTCATGATTGGCGAGGACGAGCTATTGGGCATCGTATATGTCGGCGTGCTATCGAGTTAGCAGAATATCTGTATGATAAGCAAGTTCTGGTAACATATTCACAGCATAGTACTGTGAAATTTTACGAACAACTTGGATTCATGGTGGTATCAAGCGAATTTTTGGATGCTGGTATCTTACATAAGGTATTACTTCTGTACTATTTTTAGTGTATCTGATTTACCATAGAACGTCGTTGTTAAAAGGTGATATGAGTACTTACCTCTCAGCACACACTTTCAGTACATTCAGTTATTGTGTCAACATTGGAAGACACATTGCCCTTTTCTAATGCTGAAAATGTCAGTCCCGATAATGATGGGATTGAAATATGTTGATTCGAATCGATAGATTTGAAAAGTGACTTCGTTTTGAATATAATCGGCGATAACTTTAATAATATGCTTTTTTTTCTATCTTCTGTACAATTGTGTTAGTTAAAGTTATTGATTTTTTCCAGACGATGTTTTACCCTCCGCGTCGAAATAAGCTGCCTACATTGCATTTATGGGGATTGAGCAATGCTAAACATAAAAATACACCAGGTGAATGCTTTGACCCAGCCGTTATGGAGAGGATAAAAGAAACTATTATATCATTCAAGGTTGATTGTTTTCGTGGCCGACACATATTCAGTTTTCAGTTGGCATTCGTTTTTGTGAATTCGTGATTTTTTTTAGTAGATTCATAGTTAATCTTCCACGAAACCTTTAATGTTTAATTATTAACATCTACTAACTAACAGGCTTAGTTAGTAGATGAGGTTCACTCACATTTTTTTATGACCAACATAAACTAAATATCTGAGTTTTGTTGTACTTTAAAATTTTTTGAATGCATTATTCTAGCACTTGGCGGTTACTCACATGGCAAAATAATCTTTTTATAACTTAGATTGCCAATGTTGTTTTTTCAATGAAATATATGCAGACAGGTTTAGGAGCAAAATATCCCTAGATTGGTGCATCTGCAGCACTTACCAGACGAATATGTCGTTGGTCGTTCGCTAATTCGAATTTACAAAGAATGCGCCCAGGCAACACTAGCAAAGAATTTCACACGGAGTAAACAACTAGAAAAATTTCTAATGTCGATAGCTTGGGAAAAATTAAATACTGGCCATTATGGAGAGGTTGATGAAGCTTGGAGAGTTTTTTACGCAGTCATTATGATGTGCAGAGCTGTACGTTTGAAATTTGAGGAGCGAATACAGGTGACCGTTTTTGTTTTTGTAGTAATACTGCTATATGCTGATCTACTTTTAGTGGTGCCAACTGTGCTTGATAAAATAATGGTAATATTTGAACAACCGACCCTTACTTTTTAATATTATGGAGTGTACTAACATAAATGTTTTATGATGTATATTTTGTTATCTACTGATCAAATATATGTATTTCTTAAGACATTCATATAGGAAGCTCTTTATGCTTGTGATACTGGTTTAATAATGGGTCGTGACATCGATGGTTTTGCGTTATCGAACTTCGCTCATCATTTGCATTCTTCTTTATCAGAGCCGTCAGCCCCCGTCTCTTTAAAGGTAAGTCATCAGCTAATCGTTGTAAGAACTAATAAATATGATTTGTGAATTAATAAATATGCATAATTGATTTAGCAACTCTTTATGAAAAATCAAATTTTTATTTGAAATGCTCAAAAATCAGACATTCAGGTCAGTTTTTCTACAAATGGTCAAATCATGTTATTTACGCATTCTTTTTTACAGACACAAAAACTTTTGCAACCGCCATCTCTCTTACCGAACTCAGTTTATGTTGATGTTTGCGAGCTCCCTTCGTTTGAAGAAATGTTGAAGATTATAGAAAATCAAAAACCAGTGATCATAAAAGGACTTGTAGATCAATGGCCTGCATTTAGAAAATGGAAGTAAGGCTCATGGGTTGTCTGAAATGCTCCTCTATAAGAACATATTTGTTCTGTTTCTACGTTTCGAAGTTCGGCATATTCATCGTTGTTTTGCAGAAGCTTTGAATCTTAAAAAAGCAAATTTACGATTTCTTTTATTATCTCCCAGTGTGTTACTGTTGTGTTACTTATTACCTAACTCTGGTTTTCCTTTCAGCTTCTCTTATTTTAACGAAGTTATTGGTTATCGTACGGTTCCTATTGAAATCGGTAGCAGTTATGCAGATAACGACTGGAAACAAGTTTTAATGACTTTTCGTGATTTCATTGAAAAATTCATAGAGTGCGAGGTGTGATATATTTTCAGTTTACTTGTGGTTTTTTTTCAAATTTAATGGAATTTGTGTCTTTTTAAACTTGGATAGTATCTGGAATATTGAAGCAGCCTATGTGAATGCTTGATTGTTACTATTTCTTCCTTTTTAGCACGCTAATAATAACTTATGATAGAAACTGGTACGGTTTGTAATACTTGTGGTACTAGATACAAGGAAGTTATTTACTATTCATTGCGACGAGTAAAATGAGATATAGCAAAAGAAATGTTGCCATAAATTGAAAATCAAGTATCTGTGATCGATTAAAGTTGTGTTGAAAATACTAGAAGCTTCAAGTCCATTGCATTTTTAGTGTTTGTTAAGAAAATTATAATCCCCAAATGTTTGTAAAAATAAATTTAAATGATTTAATGAGATTTGCAGAGTTCAGATGGACCGGGTTATTTGGCACAACACCGCTTGTTTGATCAAGTTCCAGAACTTCTGGATGATATTATCATCCCGGACTACTGTGCATTTGGGGAAGACGGAATTGACAATGTTGATATGAATATTTGGATTGGGCCAGCGGGGACTGTATCACCTTTACATTTCGATCCAAAAAGTAACATATTCTGTCAGGTAATTTGTCAATACTGTTTGTGATAAGTTTCTAATTTCTCATTTCGCTTGTATATTTCTACAAATTAATGGTAACTTTTATCTCAGCTTGAAGATAATTTTTTTGTTTGGTAAGGTTTCATGAAGTATGCAGTTTCTACAAGAGTGGCTAAGAATTTTAATATTTAGGTAGTTGGTCGGAAATTTTTACGAATAGTATCTGCAGTTGAAACCGAAAACGTCTACCCTCGAGAAGATGGGATTTTAACCAACACCAGTCAGGTTTGCATTCGCATTTATTGTTTCTTCCTTTAGGAATAGAATTACCATATAGTTTCATTTTCATTCCTACTTATAGTAAGCTTATTAATGAATCTATGCGTTATTCACAGTTTTCGCAGTGCGTGACTGTTTTGCAGATTAGTAGTTGGCTTGCATATTAACCATAATATTAGAAGTATTCCAAATAGGTTTTAGTCATGAAAGTTTTCTTGGAGGAGGACATTGCTTTTATAAAGGCAATTATTGAATCTTGTATTCTTTGAAAGTTGATTATTTTGATTTCAGAAACTAAAAAACATTCAGCAAAATTTTAAGGTATATAACGTTTAGTGATTTTCAGCTCGATATACGATATCCGGATATAACGAAATTTCCACGTTTTCGCGAAGCTCATGTCTTTGACTGTATATTGTGTGCTGGTGAATGTTTGTTTATACCAGCTGGATTTTGGCATTATGTCCTTGCACTTGATCCCAGTATATCTGTGTCTTGCTGGTTCACTACCAAATCATAAACTTTTATAATGAAAATTTTCTTTTGTGCATAGAGTTGCAGTTTTACTTTATCCATCATGTTTTTTTATAACGGAAGGGAGGACTGAAACAAAGGTAGCATTGTATTTAAATTTTAATTTTTTAGAAAAGGACTGCTTAATAAAAAGTGAAGCTAATGGGACCTCCGTTTCTTAATGATGTGTTAGAAATTTTCAGGATTGGCATTATAATCATATGAGTTCGTTATTAAGATTTATTATTTATGACTTCTTGATAAAAAGCAAAGATGCAATAAATATGGCATGTTCTGATATTCTTATAAGCTCTTGAACACAAAGAAAAACTTCCGTTTTATAAAATGCCTACTCGAATTTCATGTGGAAATTAGTATATCAAGTCATGTTCGTGGTAGACTGGTTCATGGCGTTGGTTGGACTAAATGCATTTAATATAGTTCCCTTTGGTTGATCCAAGGTCAAAGTAATAGTCATTTCTATGAGGATCGGAATCGCAGTACATCATAGCGCTAAATTTTTTTTTCATAAGTGGATAATCCAGCTTAGATATGACTACTAACAGGCGATTGAGGAGAAGATGGATTTTGTTAAGGTTAAAAGAAGATGAGAGATTATCCGAAGCTTATTGGCTGGTTGATCAGTAAAAAGATCAGTTTATGTGAAATCATGTTCACTAGTTCAATGGACCTTCAAATAATGTTCATGAATCCGAATTGGTAAATTTTTATTCAAATGAAAGCAATAATAAGGTTGCTTCTTAACTAATGTCATTAAAAATTTGTGACATTTGACTATTTGAATTTTACTTTGAAACAGTAAATCCTAAATGGTATTGTCATGTATAAAATAGAAATGTCTATTTGCAGAAATTATGCTATAAATTTCAATATTATCGTAATTTTTCATTAAATTTCAGTTTCTTTTAAACCTTTTAGACTTAAAACGAACGATTGAGAATTGAAATAGCCTATATCTTTAGGGATACTTTCATTCTGATAAAAATTTACAGATTTTTTTTTTAATATACATATTAAGTCTATTTCAAATGAGAGTATCCGAGAAATATGTAACATGTTGTAGGTAAACTACCTTTGTAAACACAAACTGATAAGTAATCAATATAGATATATCAAGAAAAGAAAAATGAAAATATGATAAAGATTTTTTGAATTTTTTTTTTCCATTTTTGTATGTTAGATTCAGTGAACAATTGATGATCATTCCCTGCTGTGAACTGTGAGAATGATTGATGAATGAACCTGTTTGCCAGGTATATTTTTGTTGCTTATCCTGATACATTAAATTTTTAAATGCTGAAATGAAATATACACACGTCCTCGTTTATTTTTTCTATATGGCATCTACTTTTCCATTCTTCACTCTTCAATCCATATCCTTTCCCTCTTCTTACTCTTTTCTCTCTCTCTCCCTCTCTCTCTCTCTCTCTTC